AGATACCAGCCATCCCCCAGTATTACAGCACTTACCTGCAAACTGTACAGCTCTTCATATATTTCTTAAATAACAGTTATGTTGTACATGTTGTCTCTCTTTTTATCTACTTCTATTTGTATCTTTATTCATATTCTCTATATTTACTGTAATGCAAAATATTTAACAAGACAAATTCCTTGTGAAAACCTACTTGGCAACAAATCTGATTCTGATTCTGATTCTGATCTTAGTCAGTACAGTAAATAATTATACAAATGGTCTGGTCCTATGGTAGTTATAATTTATTTTTTTAAGATTTATAAGATCCATAAACTTAAACTTCTCCTGTCCAGGCTTGAAGCAGGAAGATAGAAAGATGACTGGAAATAAAATAAACATGATTCACTGTTGGTAAAGAAAAAACAGACGGACAAATCTGGAAGTTTCACTGGAAACTGGGCTCATGTTGCTGCAAGACCCATTACTGAAGAATGTGTGTTTCAGTATTTCATAACAGACTAATGCGACTCCTCTGGACCACAACCACAGTGCACACTTTATGCAACTCCAACACACAAATGAAAAACAGTGCAGGTGACAAAAAGTCGATGTTCAATAAGTGTCATTGATTGTTTACTAATGTGGACCTAAACACACTTTCAAACCTCATCCAAACCTAAAGAGTAAACCAGAAAATAAATGAATCTATAAGTGAAATTTAACACTATTGTATCACCACCATGTTTTTGCTGTGGCTTTCAACAAAGGTCAAGTAGCATGTTGACGTACCCACAACATTTTACTGTACTGTTCTTCTGTCAGCCGCTGCTCCTCTTTTTTAAGGCTCATTTTCTAGGTCTTGCGTCAGAGGAGAGCTACTTAGCGCTGGCCCCACTGCAGCTTTGACCTCAGTGTCTCTGTTTTCTCTCCTGTTTTCTCTGCCTCTGTTACGGTAAACTGTCCCTCCTTCTCGGCTGCCATCGCTCTATTTCCTGCATTTTTCCCAAAAGTTCTGCATCTATCTTCGTAATGACCGTTGTAATACTTTTTTTATCAGATTAGAAATGTGACTGGCAGACATTAAAGCCAATTATTCGACTTCAGCTGCTCAATTAGCTAAATGGTGTTACAATGCAATCAGAAACCTGCCATCATCTGTTACACTCCAGTCGACCAAATCAGCCTCCAGATGAAAGGATTGAAATTTGAGTATGCTTTCAGAGTTTACTGAGTAACTAACTGGCAAAATGCCCACAGCCATCACGTGTAGTCAAAACTGTATTCATGAGGTGCTTCTGTGTGCTTTATGGGGCAGCTGAAGGTTAGTGCTCTCTAGACTGACATTGAAGAGTTTTATTTATTCCAGCGGACTCATCTCCCGCCAGAGCTCTGAAACTGGTGATTTGATTTCACTCTGTGCCAGCTTTCTAACACACACAGAAAAACACACAAACACACATAGAGGAGTGAAGTCATTTCACACTTAAGACATTTAAATTGGAGCTAAATTGTGTTTTGCTTGAGTGCTGTCTGACTTTTATTCTCCCTCACAATCTACAGTGATATACATATGCAATGATTATAATTTGATTAACACTATATAGACTGGGTGAAAGTTTAAAATTACATCTTTCTTTCTTGCATTTACTTTCTTTTTTCTAACTCCAATATGACGATACAAACGTGGCATTGTACCATGTCCCAAATCCATACTACATACTGATTCTATGCAAGTTTTTAGTTTATTCACACCAGAAAAGTGACAAAATAAAGTGCACACAAAGCAGACAGCATGCATATTATATTTGAGTGTGCTGATACTTTTCTCCCACAATGCAATGCACAAAAGAAACGGAGAAGCTGTTCATAACTGGTAATGAAAATGTGGAACGTATATGCTATAAAACGCATTCACACATGCCCAGACACACAAACGTGTATATTATGTTCATATACGTGTTTGTCCCTACAAACATAAAAACAAAGCTGCCTTTGCCAAACTCTTCTTTATGGGAAATTATAGTTTTCCATCTTGCACAGAAGGCTGGTGATGCGGCAGGCCTGGACACGCACCAGACAGCAGATGAGTTTGAAGACGGAAGAAAGGAAGGCTCCATCCTTATTAATCTTTCCTCTGAGTCAATGCCTCTAATCAATACCTATAAGTGCTCAGAAATGTGCTTTCCCCCGCTTTTACAAGGGAGACTTTGTGGTTCAAAGCTGTCCTTGAGGGCTTTCTCTGCCACCAACATTCAACCTAAAAAGCAGTGAAGGAGCTCAATATTCACTCCACTTTTTTAAAGAGTGTGTTCATAATGAAAGCATCCAGTCTTAAAGGGAAATAGGTTAGCACTTAATGCCTGCCCTGTGTGGTCAATATTACTGTATCACTGTGCTGTTGTGATAACAAATGCTGTTAATTTGTGCAGCAGAGGCAGAGAACTGACAGCACATTAATCTGGAAGTTAATCAGCAGGACTCCTCAGCAGTGGCAGAGCTCATCAACATGGTGTTAATAAAATGGCTTTTTAATAGCACATCTCCCTTCTTTGTGCACAACCAGACCGTGATTTTTTTACACTGTGAAGAATAAAGTGTTGGTGGTTTGTTAATCATGTGCTTATTCATGCTGCATGCACAGAATAAATGTATGATACTGCTTGCACAGTATTATGTTTGATTAATTGGTTAGGAGCATGAACACATGAACACACACGTAAAAAACTGGGTTACTGCAGCGGGAGTTAATGTCTTATTATACACGTAACTGTAAAAATATAAATCAGTCAGTTTCAAGTGGAAGTAAAAACCACATGGTTTCAGTGTACCACAGTGAGAGTTACAGTAGCAAACTGCAACTGATGGACAAGAGGAATTACACCATTTTCACCGGAACAGGCCATTTAACCATCCAAATTATTTCTGAAAGGGTTTATTAAGCTGAAAAAGTTGCCAAGTTCCCCTTTAAGATTTCGACCTGATGATGGTGGTGGATAAAAGTTATCAGTTATATTATTTTAATTGATCCTGAGGGGGACATGTCTGAATCAAATTTTGTGACAATCTATCTAATAGTGGTCGAGATATTTCACTTTAAACCAAAAATGGTGGCAGTATGAACAGTCAGGGGATCACAGGGCACCGCAAGTTAGTAGGTGTCATCCTCTGGGCACCATGAATAGATGTGCAAAATGTCACTACCTGAAACGTTATTAATCTATAGAATCATAAAAACTGTGAAAACTTTATAATAAGAATCTGAAAAAACCTGAAGTCAAGTCGTGTTTATTTATGACTCACAAGCTAAAGAACAATAAGTGAAAACGTCCAATTTAAATATAAAATATCCATGACAATGAACTGAAAAACAAATAAAGACTTCAGTTTTTTAGTAATTGTTCAAAGATACCAAAATGTCACATTTGTGCGCGATGGTAAATTAGATTCTGTAAATAATAGCCATTGTGTTCATTGTGTGTGCGTGCGTGTGTTTGTGTGAGTTTGCTTGTGTCATTTTTCAGTTTAATTATGTGTGTGGTTCAAGAATGTTTAAATCTTCATACCCTGTGGGCTCAGATATTAAACATTAACTGTCTGAGAAGGAAAGCCAGAGGTATTTGCAGTAACATATTACACCAGTTTTGGCCATCAGCAGTGATATGGGATGGGAAACCTTCAGATGTCAGACATACATGTGTGAATGAAGTTATTTATTTGCAATGTAATGGCAGATATAAGAAGTTCTGCAGCAGTATTTTTGGTGTCTTATAAGTCCATGTGGTCTGGGCACTGTGTAATACAATGTGTAATACAACTAATAAACCCAACGTAACTCACACTTTAAAACAAGTTTTTGGGGTACAACAGGCTAAATGTACACAGTGAGCCTGTGACTATCAGTCCTAAAGCTGCTGTTGTTCTCACGCTCATGCAGCTGTGGCCTTCTGTAGAAACTGTTTGCTGGTTCTGGCCAAATACAGTGTGCCAAGTTCTAAACTTATTTTAAATTTGAAGATAGTGGATTACTATACTGTAAACTACTAAATAAAAACAACCAATAATGTTAATTATTATCAGGCAACAACTGGAGGGGAGGGGACACGATGCAGCTGTGGGCACAAAGGTCACCACAGCCCCTAAATGCCCACTCCACCGGGTCTTACTTAGCATACAGACAAGAGTGGTATCAATCTTTTTATCTAACTCTCCACATCAAAGCAAAAAAGGGTGTTGTGTCAGGAAAATCTAACTAAATCACAAAACGTCTTCCGTGCAGCATTTGGAGTCAAGCAGATGTGTTATCATCATTAATTCCCCTTTAACCAAAATTAGAAGATCATCTAAAAGTCTTCAAGATTCTCCTACGTGAACAGACAGAGCTTCTTCTGTGATAACAGGCTGGTATGTAAGCAAAAGTGTTTTGTATCATCTACCAAAAGAGTCAGAATATATCCTGTTTAAATCGTTATCTTTGTGCTGTCCCACCTCTAACCCACCCTGAACCACACACTGTCTGAGAAACTGGCGAAACACTGTCACACACTGTACTGAAACATTCTGATCATCCATTATTTACAGTGAAGCAACGGGCGCATACGGGGCACTCTTATCTCAAGAGGGCACATTCAGTTAGTGAATCCATTTATAAAGCCTTTTATCTTTATCTGGTGGCACACACACACACACAGAGGGGAGGTAGAGAGACATGGGCCGTATTGTACTCAACTGCAGTAAATGCATGTGAATAGCCTGCACTTGATCCAAGTTATCTTTCTGATAAGTGGCAGCTGTGGTATTTACTGTAATCCCGGCTGATGGACCGGCTGAATGGTTTTTCCTTACTGCTGCTTGATCCAAATGGGTGTCTCGCCCTCTTACAGTTTCCCAAAGTGGGGTCCAGTTTTGCGGTCAGCCTGAGGGGCTTCAAGGGCGTCCCCAGAGAAAATGAAGGTCAGATCAGTTTCACTCCAGCACAAGATTATGTAGAGGGAAAACAGATGAGATCATTTATCTTGCAGCCACAGCAGACATTTAATTCTAGCATGCTTGTGATTAGATTTTCTTCCTTTTGCTTCCTCCGAGGCCAAGCAGTCATTCACATGAGTGTCCATTTGCTCTCTAGATAGTGTGGATGAATAAGTGTGGTGAATCCTGGACTGGGGGGGACATTACAGTACCAGAGAACCACCAGCATCAAGGAAGCATCTGTCCTTAAAAGTCCCATCAAAGACCACATTCCAGCAAAAGGTGACGATGGTTTCATTACCTGGCTCAGCAGCTAAAGGAGGAGGAGTAATTCGGGCCTGAAAGAGAAAACACTCAACCGGACTAGGAAGAGAAGTGATCTCTCGTTAAACCGCTCAAACAATAGTGTACTGAATGAGGAGCAGCATGAGGCAGGTGTTTGCTGAGGAAAAGTTTGGATGACCCGCGCAGTGCCAAAAAAACTCTGCTGAAGAGGCGACTAACACATCCTAGGACCGGGATCTGTGAGATGGGAACCTGTGACGGAAGTCCCGGTGTACTGTTTCTGATCAATTTCTTATATTATTATTATTTTTTTTAAACTGCTGTTCAGAGAGGATGAAAGGCTTTTTACTTTGCTGTGTTCTTCTCTCGGCGGTGTTGCAGCGGAGCAACATGCAAACTGGTGTACCTGCCACACGTGAGTTGATAACACAAGCTACAATATGAGATAGAACAGGTAAAGGTATGCAGCCGAATGAAACATAAACAACACACAGACGTGATTAACACATGGAAAGTTGACAGATTGTTATCTCCTTCTTCTTCATTGTGATATTAGAAAAAATCTATTTTTTTGTAAAGGCAGTCTGGGCTGAAAGTTAAACCTTCCTCTTTTGTGGTAAAAGTCAGCATTTATGCAAATGCACTCGAACTTTTTTTCTTGTAGTGAGTAAAATATTTAAGAGTTGCTGTTAGTAAATGTTTGGTGAGGCAGGCTGGCGTAAAGCAATGTGGCTTAACGATCACTGACATTTTTAATATGTAGCAACAGGCCAGGATCATTCCCACAGGCTGGTTTAAACAAGTCATCACATGGACAGTGGAATTGTGTGGTGGTGCTACATTGCATAACACCGTTTCATTACTTTTAATTCGAGACATGTACTGGGTGTGTCTTTTTTATAGGGTCACAATTTATGATCCAATCAATATAATTGTCTGTAATTATCGCAATAATTGTAAATAATCACTGCAATTCAATATGAAAAGTCACTGTGAAGAAACAGATTGTTTTATTTCTCTTTATTGGATGTTTAGATTACCATACTTCAGTTACTCGAACATTTCAATTTAATGCTACTTTATGCTTTTACTCCACTACATTTATCTGACAGCTATAGCTACTAATTATTCATCAGATTATGATTTTACATACAGAGCACATGACCACTGTATGTAGCATCATAGATTAAACAACCCAACAGCATATAAAGTACTTAAATTGTACTTCACCTCAACTAGCTGACATAGAAATGCTACTTACACTTAAATGGACCAGTAATAATAATACAGTTACATATTAAATTCTCCCAGGGGGGCATTTTTCTGCATAGTGGCTACTTTTACTTTTAATACTTTGGGTACATTATGTAGATAATAGTTCAGTACTTTTACTTATGTAAGATGTTAAATGGATTATTTTTAAAAAATGACTTAACTCTGGACACTTCTTCCACTGCAGGTGTCAGATTTCTTTCATAGGTTTAAACTGGAAAAGAAGCCAAGGACTGAAGTTGTTTTTGTGACTTCCTATGGAACAAATTATCTGGGTTTATTAACTGTAACAAGCAATGGAAAACATTATATTTTCCAAATTATGACACCACTGGAGATATTACAGCCAAATTGGACTTCAGACAGTTTATAGAAACATATGCAAACAGTGTGTCCACCAGTACTGGTCAGCTGCATGTGACTCTTAAAGGGCTACTCCAGCATTTTTTAACTATAGAGTTTGACCCTTAAGTATGGGTCAAACTCCAAAAACCCTAAATACTACATTTCCCATAATACAACTACCTCTTTATCCTCTTCAAGCCCAAACTGGGGAGTACTACATGCATACATAAAATCAATGTAATGACTTCTGTGGCTCTGCAGGAGTTTTTTCAGGTCTGAGAAAATAACCCTGATAATGTCGTACTCCCCAATGATTATTAAGATATTAAAGATAACCCCACAAGGATACAGTAGAAATATTAAATCAGTCATGTCATGTTATCATCATTGCTTTCAGAAAGCTAATGAAAAGAAGTCTCAAAGGAATAATTCTGCTTTTTTTAAGCATAATCTTCTTATCTAACTCTCAGCAAGAAAGCAAATGAGTGTATTTCTAAAACTTTAACATTATTCCTTTAAGATTTGTTTTAAAGTTACCAGTGGAGGAGGAAGATATTATAACAGTAAGGAGCAAATTATTCTACAGTCTGTCTTTCTTAGTGTGTAAAGAACCACAGTAAATGGTCAGCAGATCTGAGACGTCTGAAGATATAATAGAGATCAGAAATAAAAACTGGTGTCAAAAGTTCAGTTTAAACTGTTTATGTTCACATTTGATTCTTCTCAAGGAGCATTACTGTATTTGTAAGGACAATAGGAGCTTTGTTCTTAATGCTGACTTTTACATAGAGAAAGCTGTGGAACTTACAGGTGGCCACAGCTAATTAAAAGTAAATATTTTTTACTTATTAGCTAAGCGAGATATCCCCCCAAAAAGCCCACATGGAATGTGTGGAATTTTTAATTAATTTGCGGTTTCACTTTTCTGCAGGAGATCTGTAAACGTTTAAAAGGCTTCAGAGCCACAAACAGTTTGCGTATGAAATATTTTGTTTATAAGTAGCATTGATTTTGATCCAACACCGACTGGATATTCTACCATCTGTCTGTTTGATGTTAGCGAATGTTGATAGCGCACTCAGTAAACTTCACAGGAAGCATTAACATATTTTTCCTTCATCTGTGCAGCTCTGCAGTATGGCATATGGCCTTGGCACAGCTTGAAACCAGATAAATGACAGATGACATGCTTAAATCTCTCTCACACACACGCATATACATATTCACATGCACTTTTCCTCTGAGGAATGCAAAGATTCCTCTACATCTCCTTCAACAAATCGAATCCAACCATCTCATCTTTCCGTCTCCCTTTTTTGTTCTCCCCCAGCTTCTTCCCTATGCCACCACATGTAAATATGCATGTGTACATTTTTGCAAACGTTTGACTTTGTTGAAGCTTGTCTTTCCCCCCATAGCATCTCCTCTCTTATAAGTGATCTGTGTTTCATTAAGATGTTGGCTGATGCCTCTTTGTCTGATTGCGCTGTTCTCCCTCATTTCCTCTCTGCCTGTTTATTTTCCTGCTGCTTTATTTTCTGCCTCCCTGTAAAAGTTTAATGATTATGGACCATTGCTGCAATAAAATAATGGGTGTGTTCTGCTGAGGACCTGCACATGGAAAAGACAGAGAAGTGTGAATGATATGGAATAAGTTAGGCAATACAGCAGAGGTGTACATTTTGTAGGGGACTATTAGGAGGGACTCTGTGTCTCATATAGCACACAGATTTAATCTAATCCTCAATTATTATGAGGACTAATGTCAGTGTATTTGTCATTTATGATGGCATAATGAGACCAATATTTCGTGAACTACAGGCTCAGATGTAACAAAAGCCACATGCGGAGGAAACACTCAGCGAGAAACAGATGAGTGAGTCAAGGACATATATCTGATCTATATCTGTCCGTGGTGCTTGTAGGTAGAATTGATTCCTTTCATTGAAAATTATTCCACTAAGATGACTTTTTGACGACAAAGTGGAGCACAATTTCTTCTGAGAAATGATGAAAGGTGAAGATGGAGAAACCAGTATGTGTTCATTCAATGGGAGAGATCCCAGATGTGCTTTCTCTCTCTCTCTCTCTCTCTCTCTCTCTATCTGCACTGCTTCTTTTTTTTTTTGGTTACTGTTTTATCATCAGTATAAATCTAACTCTGGTTTCATGTGATAAATTGACTCCTGTGACCACTTCTCTTGATTCCTCACTATCATAAATCCTCTGCCATAGCTCCATTTAAGGTATTCTCAATGCAATATTTTTTGACATGTTTTGATACAGTGTGAGCAGCACAGCAGATTGTCCTCAGGATTTCAGTGTTGCATGAAACAAGACACCTCATATACCTGTTATTGCCCTTCAATCTTTATATAAATGCTTCCCCAAGGACAGTAATGGCATCTGTGACATTAATAAGATCAGTCTTGCCTAAGATACCTTAAATCAGTTTCCCTTTTTTTAATATGACCATGATATTAATGTAGTCACGATGGGATGATTCATCACTGCCAACAGTTTATAGTATCTTTGAAGATGTAGCATAGGCACCTAATAAGTCACCAGGTTTTATGAAAAATCCATGTTAAACATTAATTAAAGAACCTGTCCATCTGTGCCCTGATCTGGTGTCTAAAAAAGTGGAAATTGAAGCTGTACTTTAAAGCTGCTATTACCAATGTATAAATGTTTATACGGAACAAATTAAGTGAAAAGTAGTCGCTTGTGGTGACACAGAGTTATCACCTGACTCTGCAGTTCCTCTCTAGTTCTTAAGTGTCTTTCAGCTCATTGATTTGGCTTCATTCACCTTCACCACTATCATCAGTGCCATTTTCAATCCCAGTGGGCAGCTGTACCTAAAACACACTGTACACTAACTACCCAGCCCCAAACAGCAGAGAACGTTAGCAACTAGCTGGTGAACATAGTTGCCAGGTGACCAGAAATATGTCTCCAAATATATCTTTATGTTACTCCATATCTCCTGGATGTGTAAATAAGCAACTGTTTGCTAACAAGTACACCATCGACAACATGGTCAGTGTTGTGTTTACAGCTTGTTTGTGCTGCCCACAAAGTGCCCAAAAATATCAGTTGATGCAGGTATGAACACTGACATACATTTGAAAAATGATTGTAAACCTGTCGATCAATGATATGATCAATGACCTTCTTGTTTTTATTCCTGTTGTGCACAGTGTTAAACTGCTGTGAAGGGGATATTCTCCTTCTGCTGGACTCTTCAGGAAGTGTGGCAAACTATGAGTTCTCCCGCCTGTTGCTCTTCACCGCCGAGCTGCTTCGCCCCTTCTCACTGGGCCGCGGGCACATAAGAGTCGGGCTGCTGCAGGTGGGCACAAACCCTACCCTGGAGTTCGGCCTGGACGTCCACAATGATCAGGCAAGTCTGCAGAAAGCTATGCGGAGTGTCAGCCAGCTGCAGGGAGACACAAACACAGAGGCAGGGCTCAGGGTGGCCCAGCAGCTTTTCACAGAGATGGAGGGGAACGTGCCAAAGGTGCTGCTGTGGCTGACTGATGGTGCGCAGCCTGGAGACGTGGACAAGGGGATGTATGAGCTGAAGGCACAGGGAGTTTCTGTGTTAGCTGTATCTACAGTACATGCCAACTACCAGGTGTTACGACGTGCAGTGACACCACCTCTGGAGTCTCACCTGTACTTTGTGGACATAGATAACATCGAAATCATCACAGAGGACCTGAGGGAGGCCATCATTGGTGTGTGTCTGAAATATAGACAGAAAAAGTTCATTTTAACTACAGAATTTTTCACTCCAGTCTCCATATTTTATCTCACTTTGCCACTCTCTTCCCCCCTCGTCTTGTCTTATCTATAGAAATTATTCATGCAGAACGGCTGCGTGTGGTTCATTTAACGTCCCACAGTGCTGTGCTGCAGTGGCGCCCCGTTCTGAGTGCAGGCAATGGTTACTATGATCTCCGGTACAACTCTGTATGGAATACGGACCCTGAGACCAGCCGCATTCTCCCTGGCGACTCAAGCTGGGTGGAGCTGACTAATCTGCAGCCTGATACCACCTACACAGCTTCCCTCCACCCAGAGTCCAACCAGAGGCTGTTTAACACACTCTCTGTTAACTTCACCACACTTCCTGGTGAGAGGATTAAAAGGGTGTTTTCCCCTTTAAATACATTTGTTTTTATGATCTGTAATGCACATTTTTGTTTCTACAGATTTCCATGCCATTTAAGGGCCTTTTACTGTGTGCTGCCTGCACATTTAAAGTTTGTATTATGTGCTTTATTAATACAGCCCCCACCCCCCCTCTGCCTGCGCTGCCCTCAGATGTTTTAAGCCCAGCAGTGGTATCCGTGTCAGAATCTGGCCCTCATCAAATCCGTGTGAGCTGGGGTCCCCTGCAGCCAGCACGAGTCCAGAGATATACGGTGGAGTACGGAGCTATTCCAAGCGGACATGTCCACACTGTGACAGCACACAGCCAGCAGAACTCTACCTTACTGACCGGGCTGGAGCCGGGCACTCAGTACCTGGTCACAGTCACTGCTCTGCGTGTGAATGGAGAAGAAAGAGCCATGTCTGTGAGGGCGTGCACTCAAGAACGTATGTTTTCAGTTTGCATACCTTGTTTTTATGTATGTATTATGTATCAGCATCAGTTGACGAAGCTGCTTTAATCTCTCCTCTATGTTTTTCCTACTGCAGCAGTTCTGCCTGCCCTGGCCGACCTTCAGCTGACCACGGTGGAGCGTCAGGAGGTGCAGGTAGCGTGGCAGGCCTCTCAGGAAGACGTGAAAGGCTACTGGCTGAGCTGGGAGAGAGAAAGCTCCTACTCGAAGCCCTCCAACTCCTCTGTTTACCTGTCTCCTACCTCCCGTTCAACACGACTGACACACCTTGCACCAAGCAGTCGTGTGTGTGTGTCCCCGGTCTACAGCTCTGGTCGAGAAGAGGGGATATGCTGCACAGCAGAGATGCACACAGGTTGCCTGAGCTTAATATTATTATCTCCTTTTTTTTATCAATTACTGCAATTATGTTCATACATAGCAGGTTTGGGTTATTAAAGCAAGTGTAATTTCCCTTTCCTCTGTCTCTTCTCTCTGACAGATTCCAGCCAGTGGGGTTAACAACCAGAGTCCGCAACAATCAGGCAGCTGGAGCAAAAAAGAAGGGTGAAATCGAGCATTTTAAGTGCTGGGTGCACTAGATAACAGGACTAAATATTATTTTTAAGCTAAAATGTTCATCTTGAAATGAATCAGTGACAGACAAGGCTTTATCACATAACACCAGCCCCCTGTCTTCACAATGGCTGAGAAAATCTGGTATAATTATGTGTTTGTTTTTCTCCTGAAAATGAAAATATCACCAACTTTGCAGCAAGGCTGTCACACATTTATTTAAACATATCAGTTAGTCAGGAACATGTGCAGCATTCACAGTTTGAGGAACTATTGTTATTTACAATTATTATTTATTATGATTTACAGTTTCATTATTACATGTATTTACTTGAAATTGTATTCTTCTTGTTGCAAGTATACTCAAATTTCTTAAATTAAAATTTTCAAATGTATTGATTTTGAAGCTGATCATGAATTAGTCTAAATGTTTGTTGTTTTGTTTCGTCTTTTTCAGCAATTTTTCTCTGAATTCTCATTCAATTATTGGCATTCAGTCATTACATCAGACACCACTCTGACAGCACACAGTGAATTCACAGACAGGTGTGTTTCTGCTTTGCTGTCAGTGATGAAATACAGAAGACGAACGTATTTAATGTTATCAATTCTTCAGACCAGTTAACTCCATAGTGGATCAGTTTATACAATGCTTAAAAGTATGCAGTTTTTATAGTGAATATGTACTGTGAATATATAGATTTTTTAATGTACTCTTTTTTTTATTTATATGCTACGTAATTTATGGCCAGGTTTGTCTGATAAAATGTTTCCCTGGGCAAATTAAAAGACAAGAGAAATTTATATAAAAGATATCTGCACAGTATCCATAAGCATTTGATTGGATAAAATAATAAATGCAGTTTTTAAAATACCACAAAAATGTGTTGTTCTTGCTCGTATTCTGGTATTTTGTTGTTTATAATGCCATCTAGTGGCTCTGATCAGATACTGCAAAGTGAATAAATGCTAAACTTCACATCATCTTTTCATGTGACATAAATGGTTCATTTAGAATGATTATAAATAATGTACCATTGCATTTTATTAATTGAGCAAAATCAAATCCATTAATAGTTATTCCTCCTGGATAAGGACGTTACCTGGAACATTAAAGTGCTATTTAATCAGCAGAGATAGAACTAATAGAAAGGACTGAAACGTGTTTTGTCATTTGAAGATGCATTAGGTTTTATATTATCTTAAAACTACTTACAGTTACTTTGAATGAATGTACCCACTGATCTCCTTTGTTTTATTTTGATTGAGTATAAATATAATACATATTAATAAATAAATGCAAACCTGGGTCAGTGGCTGTTCAAAGCTCTCTTAACTGCTAAATGTCTTGCACACCTACCTTAAATATATCGCTGTAAGATTGTAGAAGGATATGCTGCTGTACTACTGTATCATCCTATTCTTAATGGATGGTGACAGCTGTAGAGTAATAGGAAAGGGGGGAGAGAGAAAGGGGTGCTGCAGCCAGCACTCTCAGCACATGGGGCACCAGCTCAAGGTATCAGGGCTCCCCGTCTTCATTTTAACCTTAGTGGAAATTTTACTAAATTTGATTGGTGCACTTGTTACCTCCTCTGAAAAGTAGAAGAGTAGATTTTTTTTCCTTGTTATGTTAGCGACCATTCTGATTTGTGACCATTGTGGCTCATGAATGCCAAGTGAGAAGGGGAGTGCAACCACCTTCACCTGTGTTCCCTCACCTGATTTAAACCCACTCTTTCCTCTCAGTTCTGCCAAGTTGTCTTTAGCAGCATGCAAAGCTCTCTAGTGTTATTTCCCGATTGCTTCCTTGGTTTCACCCTGCTTGTCCTGACCCGTCCTCGTCATCCCTGCCCAGGTAACCATCAACAGCCTTCTGTCCCTGACCCCTCTGCCTGCTCTCCCCTTGTCTGTCTCCAGTTTGTTTGATTCCCTCCCCGGAGGTCTCTGCTAGAAAGTCTGACTGTTTTGGCCTAGCTCAGGTTGTGGACTATTCTTGTGTACCTGCTGTGGATTTTACAACTCTGTTTGGACAATAAACTGTTGAACTGTTCCAACACTGTCTCAGTCTGTGCTGTTCTTGGGTCCATACCTCACGCCCATTACAGAGGGTGAAGCAAGGGAGTTGAGTTCCAATCTGCAATTATGCTGATAGAGGCCACTAAATCCTAGACATGGACCTTTAATCTGAGAGTGAATTTAAGATCTGACATAGTTCAAACAGATTAGCAATTCACTATTTGTAGGAGTCAAATATAGATGTGTTCTTTTGAAGGAAAAGAATACCTCTGCCTAAATGCTGATTACGTTGTGTGTTCCACCTCCTTTCCTCCATGTTTTGACTCCACTCCTATCTTCCTCCTCTTTTTCTCAGACCCTGAGCTGGTGAGCAGCCAACACGCCCCCTGCTGGGCGTGTGGTGTAACTTTCCCTCTAGCTACAGTGCCTGGCCCTATGCCACCGCATCTCTGGTGATCAATGAAACAATTCCCATAATCCTAATGGCCTTTACCAACCTGGGCTCCTTTACACACTCTACACCACGGTAGGAAGCGGAGTTCGGGAAAGATGCACCTGTCATAAAACGGGGTCCTGCTGAGAGACGAGCAGCCAAGGGTGAGGAGGAACAGAAACATGGATATCAATTGTTTTCAGCAACAGTTTTATGTCAGTCGTGTGAACATATAAATCTTGTCATTTCACTTCCCTAATACTTTGCATTGTGTGTTTCTCCAGGTGATTCCGCTCTCAATAATGCTCTTCATTGCATCCTGGGGAACCAGCATTATCCTCTGTCACTATTTCAACACAACCGAGGCTCCTCAGCGGAGTTTCTCTGGTCATTGCTCGTTTTGCCACACATTATTTTTATTGCCATGTCCTTCCTGCTGTTCTGGCAGTTGGCCACGAGACGCTGCGGTCTTTCATGAAGTCTGCGCTCACACCAGTACTGCTAATCATAAACTCTATTTTCAGCAATTTCTCTCAAAAAACATTTTAAAGGAGGTTCAATTGTTTATAGGATGCATATATGATGTTTCCTCTCTGGAGTTGGACTGATGGACTCAATGAAAGGCTAAAAAATAATTCAGTAACCCCCACCGCTGAGATCGTCCAT